TCACAAACAAAACACTCAGAATTCCTCTCATTAAAATATTCTTTGTTCACTGCAATGATATAGGGCAGGGGAGTCAGAGTAGCAATTCAATTTTCATTCAATAGACAGAAAAGAAAAAGTACTAACACCTATGGCCCACCATAATGAGTCCTGTGCAATAAATAACCCATCTCTTTGTCCTTGTAACAATTCTGTGAGATCTATCACCTCCATTTTACAGATAAAGGTCCCAAGGAGAAGGGTTAAATAACTCCTCTAAGACCATACACCCTATAAGTGGTGGAGCTGCTGGGATTTGAACTCAAATCTGATTCAGATCCAGGCTTTTTATACTATACCACAGGGCTTCCCAAGAAGACTAAGACATTTAACTCGATAATGCATATACAGTACATTAAACTGAAGACACAAAGATGGGTAAGACATTAAGGAATTCACAAAGTAAGCACTATACTACATGAAAACTGCAATGAATACTACTGTCAAACAGGATGTAATGGAAGCAACTAGCAGGGGAGTACAGGCGAAGACAGATTCAGGTTAAGAGAACATTGTATTCAAAGGTGTTCGGTATGGCTGGAGTCGGGAGTGGGAGGACAGAGTGAAGAAGATCAGAGACGAGGTTAGGACAGTGGCAATTCATTTGTTCAATCACTACTTATGTTGAAATCCTACTAAGTGCCAGGAACTGTATTAGACACAGGCATGTCTGATGATTGACACAGTCTCTGCTCAAGGAGATGGGTAAACACATAACTACAGCATAAAGTGAAAAATGATAACATTGATGTATTTATCAAACATTAAGGGCTCCTTGACAGGAAGAAGATGAATTAGGTCAATCAAGGCACTACATTTACAAAGATCCTTCTAAGACAGACTGCCTCATTTAGAGCAACAACTAAATACCAAGCTCAGATGGCCAGGTTTTGCACTACACAAAGTCTCCAGTTCTCCTAACCACAAACCCAAACCATGACTGCTTGAACCAGAGGTGGATATATGGCTAAAGACAAGACCTAGAATGTGTTCTGGCATAAAAGGAGCTGGATCAATCAAATTCTTGCACTCAGGAGTTGCACTTCAGAAGCTGAAATGATACAGAGAGAATCCTTGAGGCAGAGTCTGGGCCACGAGTGGTCAGAATTTAAAAGAAACAGAACTAAGTGAACAGATACTATGAAGAAGGTTGTAAACCATGGTAAGGGGTTGGATCATGCCCACAAATGTATTCTGTGGCCTGCATAGTATACTGAATTTTTAAAACAATACCCAGCTTGTGGTCTCTAAAATATCACTCCCCACAAAAAGGAACCAGAACTTTTTGGAGAAATAGCTACTTCCAGATCAAGGGTTGGACATATAAAAGATGAGCCTAGGACATCTTATTGTTCCACAAAACAGGAAAGCTATCAAAGCCTAATGGGATTGTGTCAAAGGATATGGAAGCCCCAAAGAGACATGTGAGCAAAAGGAATGAATACTACTGTCTAAAACAATGGCTCTACAAACTGAAACAAATGACAAAAAAAATAATAATAATTTTAGAATAATAGTTAACCTTCTGCATTACAATGAAAATGACAAGGGCAACAACTCCTTACTCTGAAAAATGTAAATTAAAGGAATGAATTCAGTATTTTTCCTGCCTTTCTTGTGTGAATTATAAATTTTAAGGTAACCAAATGGTCTTAATTGATGAATTCTTTAAGAGTAATTCCACCTAATACATATAAAATGAATAAAAGAATTAGAAAATCATTTCACAACCTTAATGAAACAAATTGACACAAAAATCATCAATGGATTCAAAAGAGAAAAATCAATGGGAAGTTTTATAATGGAGGCTTCAGGCTGTTATCACCTTGGTAGGCGGAGTAATGGCACCCCCTCACCACCAATGTCCACGTCCTAATTCCCAGAACCTGTGTTCTTACATGGTAAAAGTTTTGAAGATGTGAGTGAATTGAGGGTCTTGAGATAAGTAAACTATCACAAGAGTCCTTAGAAATAGAGAGAAGCAGGAGAGTCACAGGAGATGGCATGATGGAAGCAAAGGAGAGAGACATGGGTAGGCGAAAAATATCTGAATATGGAAGAAGAGTTCACCGTCCAAAGAATACAGGTGGTCTCTAGAAGCTGAAAAAGGCAAGGAAACGAATTCTCCCTAAGAGCCTTCTCATAAGATGAGAAGGAACACAGCCTGCTGACATCCTGATTTTAGGACTTCTGACCTCTAGAACTATAACATAAACATGTTGTTTTAACTCACCAAGTTCATGGTAATTTGTTATAGCAGCAGTAAGACACTAATACACACCTGAACCCACTGATCCATCTTAGCAGCACTATGAGGCACAAAACACACTGTGTACTCTGCCATGATGCCACATCAAGTATACAACACTAACCATGGAGTACTCTCATCAAAAAGATAAATCTAAATCTAATTACATTTTTACATTTGATTCCTTTTACAAGAAATATAGGGGACAGCAATCTCAAGGAAGCAAATAGACAAATCCGAAGTGTACGATATTCTTTAAGAACAACTAACTCCAATACAACCGCAAGCATAAAAAAGGGAGAGCGGATTGCTAGATTGAAGAGACTTGAGAGATATAAGATTAATTTTAAATAGATATTTTTCAGACAGTGGAGAAATTTGAATATGAACTGGGTATTATTAGATGGCATTAAAGAATTCTTGTTAATTTTGCGAGGTGTGATTATAGCCATATAACGTTGCAACCGTGTTCATATTTTTAAAGAGATTCATGAAGTATGCAGGACTGAAATACCATGGTATCTGGGACTTACTTTAAATCAATTCAGCATAAAATAAAAAGAGGGAAGAAGCAGTTAAGATGAAACAAATGTGGCAAGACCCTAATTGTTGAATCTGGGTAATGTGTAAGTGAGGACGGACCGTACTCTTCTTCATAAACCTGAAAACAAACCAATGCCAAAACCAACTTTGAATTAGTTGGTACACTTAAAAATGAAGAGCTTTCACATCAAAATCTGGATTTCTCACTTCATTTGAAAAATCATATGTGACAATAAGGCTCTTATCAAGAGATGGGAGTACTGGTCACTGCAAATTAAGTTTCCACTACTCCCAGTTATCCCCCATTTATCATCATAGCTGCTGTTTTTCTCACATCTGGCCCAATTCGTTCATTTATGTTACCTACCTGACATTTGGTTTTAGGACCCCAAGAGTAGTCTAAGCTGGTTAGTAGCAAGAAAACAGGGAAGACATGGGGAGATCATGTAGATCTAGAGACTCCTGCTGTTAAGGCCCCTTCAGCAGTTCTGAATACAGACGTAATTTCCTTAAGGCTATGCTACACTATGCATCCTGTATTTATTAAGTACTCACTAGTATGACTGACATTCTGGAAAACATGAACATGAAAATAATTCCTGCCCTCAGGATACTAACAGTCTAATAAGAAAGGCAAGATATACACATAAGTGGTTATAATATAAGATACAAGATAAGTGAGTTCAGGGGACTATCAGGGTGGCTCATATGTAAAATGCAGAGTGGGGAATGACAAAGTATATAAAGCTTCAGAAATAGATTATGAAGAGCACTACAGAGCATGTTGGTAAATTTAAGCTTATCAGACAGTTTAAGCGGATAGTAAGCCACTGAAAAGTTAAAATGTAAGTACAAATCAGAGGGGGAAACACTGGAGATGAGAGTAAAGTCTCTTTCGTTTCTCAAATTCTCTGATTCTATGTACTACATCCTTTGAAGAGCCAGAAGCATGACCCCAAAAATGTTGTATCCAAGCCTCTAAAATTGTGTCATCATGGCTTTCTTGGCCAGATATTAGTTTGGTACCTAAAGAGAATAATAAAAGGATGGGTCATGAGCAATAGTCCTGAAAATACTTCATTTCTCTCAAATAAAGTATAAATAAATTGCATCTATTACCACTACTAGATTCCAATTCCTTAAACATAAATTATGGTCATCTAATACCTAAGCTCTCTTCAAAAGTAAAAGTTTCTTCTTATTTAGTCTAAGACCGATTCTGTTAAAAACAAAAACAAAATCACGGGCTCATTGTGAATGAATAAAATTACCTAGAACACAATTAATCTTGACCATATCAATTTATATTAAAGTTTCAAAGATCGATCCCGTCATCCTAACAGCAAAAAAGGAGCAAACTGGCATTATGGGAATAGTAATCGCCATCCTGGAGTATCGGTGAAATTTACATAAAACTTGGCCAAGTCCAGATTCTGGGGTACCAGAAAGGAAAGGACTAGAAACTGAGACCAATCAATCACAAATAAATTACAAATAAAAAACAAGGAGAGAATAAAACTGCAGCACTTTTCTTCGCCCTACTAACTCTCAAACTAAGAATTAATCCCAGCTCTGACACGTTTATTCTATTACCTCTCTGAGCCTCAGTTTCCTTCCGTGTAAAATGAGGCTAACAGTACCTACTTCATAGGGGAGTGTACGAACTAAATGGTAATGTATATAAAGTAGCAGAAGACCCCCAAACACACACAGTTAATGCTCAATAAATAATAGGTTTCATTATTCGCAGTAAGTTTCAATGCCTCCATTATTTTCTTGCAGGTATCAATGTGTCTTATGATGCCAATCCCCACAAATACTCAACATCCAAAGACTTCTTTGGAGACCCAAGTTACAGTTCAAGGTACCTAGGAACATAGCAGGTAGAGGGCCCTGACAACAATCAAAGACGAGGACACCCCAGGTCGGTTGTCACATCTGCCAAGGCCTCGCAGCCCTTCTAAGGGTTCCCGAGCACTGGCACCCAGCCCCGCCCCACGAACGACGACGGGCGAGGTGAGGGGGCGGTCTCGACCACGCGCCCTTGGCGCCTCCCGGGAGGCCAGGCGGCCCTCCAGGCCTCCGCCAGCCTGACCCCCCCCACCCCCATCCTCTGCCTCCCCTCGCCTACGCCTGCGGTTTTCCCTCCTTGCCCCGCCCAGTACCGCACCTTGAGGTGGGTGCGCAGGCCGCCAGCGCCCCCAGACTGGTCTGTGATCTCGTATGCGCCCGTCACCAGCAGGTCCTTATGGATCTCCTCACGAAGACACTTGCGGGAGTTAACGGGCAGATGGAAGGAGATGGCGAAGACCGAGCTGGGGCCGAGCAGGAGTAAAAGCAACGACGCTAACTGGCAAAGGCCACGCTGGGCTTGTAGGCCGGACAAACCAGACATGGTGCCGGAGACTGTTCACCACCCCGGGCCTCTACCGCGCCGGAACCGGGAGGGCCCACGTGACTCACCTATGGCCTACCAACGCCGCAGGCGCCATTTTGGAAACTGGCAAATAGGGGAAAGCTATATAGTAAATCTTTTGAAAGGGAGCAATGGATATGATGCCGCGTCACACCCACAAGTTAGCGTGCTTAAATAAGATATTCTAGAAATTTCCCGCAAAACTTTTATTTTTGTTGAGTTCAGTGACTGCCCAGTCGGCCATAGCAAGTAAGGGCAGCCCTGGAAGTAATCCTCCTTTAACTTGCGGAAGCAATGCTAGCAAGTTTTAAGGTAGGTGATACCATAGCAACCAAGCCCCAATAGGAAACAGCCACAAGGCCCTTCGCTAGCCGGTCTGGCAGCCATCAACGCATGCCAAGCGAGGGCGGAAGCGGAGGGTGCGCAATCCCAGTCCTTTCCGCCTTGCTTGGCAACTGGGACGTTGAGCACTTGCGAGGAAAACTTTGAGTGCTGAGCGGAAAGATTCCAGTTTGTCTATGAGGCGAGGGGACGGCCAGTACCTCAGAGAAGGTGTAGAGGTCACCAGGTGAATATGAGATGTGCAGGCGACCAGTTCATGCTCCTGAGCGGAGTATTTGGGCAAGGGTAACTGCTTTCTGAACGTGCATCTTATTTAACAAACATTGAGCGCCTACTGTGCTAGGTAATATTCAAACCAAAATTTAGATTTTGCATTTAAATTGATTAAAACACTGTCTTTTAGTCCAGGCTGAGAGACGGACTTAATGCTGTTTACCGGATGAGCGTTGTCAAAGGAAGGTTTGTGTGTTTTAAATGCACATTTTAGGGATCAAATTGGCTAGTCTTTAGTAAGCAATTTTACACGGTAATCATTCATGTTTTCGTTTAACAAATATTTATTGAGTACCTACTATGTGCCAGACGCTATGCCATGTATGTATACCAACATGTTTATTAACTTAACAAACCACTGTTGGGATGCTATCTAATATTCAGGGCTGAAGGAAATATGAAAATGAAAAAGGAATACACAGCAGCCTATGTTTGGAATCATCTACTTTTATTAATGTTTATTGAGCATATACAGAACTACCCAGAAAATGAACAATTTGCTCTTGGAAATTTAAATTATTATTCTATATTTGTAACTCCTTTCAATCCATCTAGTTCTTTTCCTTAGAACTGAAGTAAACAAAAACAAACATAAAGGAGCTGTCTGTAAAGCATTTTAAAATTTGACAAAAGCCATGTCATAATTATTTTATGATGTGTCCACTTAGGAATACTTAGTTTGATTATTTTATCCCTGATCTACGATAAGATTGCTAGTCTACTAGGTACATCCTGATAATTTGCATTGGCCTTCTCCCTGCAGTG